TGGAGAGGTACGTATACCACTGACACGACACCTGGAACATCTGGTGAGGGACGTATACCACTATCACGACACCGGGAGAGGTACGTATACCTCTATCTCGACACCGTACGTAAATGACTATCACGACACCATACCACTATCACGACACCTGGACACCTGGAGAGGTACGTATATCACTATCTCGACACCTAGAGACGTATGTATACCACTATCTCGACACCTAGAGAGGTAGGTATACCACTATCTCGACACTTACAAACGTACGTATACCAGGTACGTATACCACTATCTCGAAACCTGGAGAGGTACGTATACCACTGTCACGACACACGGAGAGGTAAGTATACCACTACCTCGACACTTACAAACGTACGTATTATACCACTATCACGACACCTGGGTATACCACTATCACGACACCTGGGTATACCACTATCACGACACCTGGGTACGTATACCACTATCTCGACGCCTAGAGGGGTACGTATACCACTATCACGACACCGGGAGAGGTACGTATACCTCTATCTCGACACTTAGAGATGAACGTATACCACTATCACGACACTTGGAGACGTACGTATACCACTTTCACGACACCTGGAGAGGTCCGTAAATGGTTATCACAACACCTGGAGAGGTACTTATACAACTATCTCGACACCTAGAGAGGTAGGTATACCACTATCTCGACACTTAGAGATGAACGTATTCCACTATCACTACACCGGGAGAGGTACGTATACCTCTATCTCGACACCGTACGTAAATGACTATCACGACACTTGGAGGGATACGTGTATCACTATGACGACACCTGGACAGTTACGTACATGACTATCACGACACCTGGACAGGTATGTAGACGATTAGCACGACACCTACCTAGAGAGGTACGTATACCACTATTTCGACACTAGAGACGTACGTATACCACTATCTCGACAGCTAGAGAGGTACGTATACCACTATTTCGACACCTAGAGACGTACGTATACCACTTTCACGACACCCTATCACGACACCTGGACAGGTATGTAGACGATTAGCACGACACCTACCTAGAGAGGTACGTATACCACGTTCTCGACACTTAGAGACGTACGTAGACCACTATCTCGACACCTAGAGAGGTATGTATACCACTATATCGACACCTAGAGAGGTACGTATACCTCTATCTCGACACTTAGAGATGAACGTATTCCACTATCACTACACCGGGAGAGGTACGTATACCACTATCGCGACACTTAGAGACGTACGTATACAACTATCCCGCCACCTGGAGAGGTACGTATACCATTATCTCGACACCTAGAGACATACGTATACCACTATCACGACACGTGGAGAGGTACGTATACCACTATTTCGACACTTAGAGAGAGAGGTACGTATACCACTATCAGGACACCTGGAGAGGTACGTATACAACTATCACGACACCTGGACAGGTATGTAGACGATTCGTATACCACTATCACGACACCTTGAGAGGTACGCATACCACTATCAGGACACCTGGAGAGGTACGTATACCAGTATCTCGACACTTAGAGATGAACGTATTCCACTATCACTACACCGGGAGAGGTACGTATACCACTACCACGACACCTGGAGAGGTACGTATAGCACTATTACGACACCTGGAGAGGTACTTATACAACTATCTCGACACCTAGAGAGGTACGTATACCGTTAGCACGACATCTGGACAGGTACTTACACGACTATCCCGACACCTGTAGGTAAATGACTATCACGACACCTGAAGAGGTACGTATACCACTATCACTATCACGACACCTGGAGAGGCACGTATACCACTATCACGACACCGGGAGAGGTACGTATACCACTACCACGACACCTGGAGAGGTACGTATATCACTATCTCGACACCTAGAGACGTATGTATACCACTATCTCGACACCTAGAGGGTACGTATACCACTATCACGACTCCTGGAGAGGTACCTGCACAGTTAGCACGACACATGGAAAGGCACGCACACGACTATCACGAAACCTGGACAGGTACGTATACCACTTTCACGACACCCTATCACGACACCTGGACAGGTATGTAGACGATTCGTATACCACTATCACGACACCTGAAGAGGTACGTATACCACTATCACGTGACTATCACGACACTTGGAGGGATACGTGTATCACTATCACGACACCTGGAGAGGGACGTAAATGACTATCACGACACTTGGAGGGATACGTGTATCACTATTACGACACCTGGAGAGGTACGTATCCCACTATCACGACACTTGGAGACGTACGTATACCACTATCAAGACACCTGGAGAGGTCCGTAAATGGTTATCATAACACCTGGAGAGGTACGTAAATGTCTTTCACGACACCTAGAGACGTACGTGTACCACTATCACGACACCTGGAGCGGTACGTATACCACTATCTCGACGCCTAGAGGGGTACGTATACCACTATCACGACTCCTGGAGAGGAACCTGCACAGTTAGCACGACACATGGAAAGGTAAGCACACGACTATCACGAAACCTGGACAGGTACGTATACCACTTTCACGACACCCTATCACGACACCTGGACAGGTATGTAGACGATTCGTATACCACTATCACGACACCTAAAGACGTACGTATATCACTATCACGACACCTGGAGAGGTACGTATACCACTATCACGACACCTGGAGAGGTACCTGCACAGTCAGCACGACACATGGAAAGGTACGCACACGACTATCACGACACCTGGACAGTTAAGTACACGGTTAGCACGATATCTGGACAGTTACGTACACGACTATCACGACATCTGGATAGGTACGTGCACGGTTAGCACGACACCTGGAGAGGTACCTATACCACTATCACGACACCTGAATAGGTACGTAAATGACTATCACGACACCTGGAGAGGTACGTATACCACTATCTCGACACCTAGAGAGGTACGTATACCACTATCTCGACACTTACAAACGTACGTATACCACTATCACGACACCTGGATAGGTAGGTATACCACTATCACGACACCTGGAGATGTACGTATACCACTATCACGACACTTAGAGACGTACGTATACCACTGACACCTAGAGACGTACGTATACCACTATCTCGACGCCTAGAGGGGTACGAATACCACTATCACGACACCTAGAGACGTACGTATACCACTTTAACGACACCTGGAGAGGTACTTATACAACTATCTCGACACCTAGAGAGGGACGTATACCACTATCACGAAGAGGTACGTATACCACTATCTCGCCACTTACAAACGTACGTATACCCCTATCACCACACCTGGAGAGGTACGTAGACCACTATCACGACACCTGCATACGTACGTATACGACTATCACGACACCTGGAGGGGTACGTATACCACTATCTCGACACCTGGAGAGGGACGTATACCACTATCACGACACCTGGAGAGGTACGTATACCACTATCAAGACACCTAGAGACTTACGTATACCACTATCACGACACCTGGAGAGGTACCTGCACGGTTAGCACGACACATGGAAAGGTACGCACACGACTATCACACCTGGACAGTTACGTACACGGTTAGCACGACATCTGGACAGTTACGTACACGACTATCACGACATCTGGATAGGTACGTACACGGTTAGCACGACACCTGGAGAGGTACGCACACGACTTTCACGACACCTGGACAGGAACGTACACGACTATCACGACACCTGGGCAGGGATGTAGACGGTTAGTACGACACCTGGACAGGAACGTCCACGACTATCACGACACCTGAGCAGGTATGTAGACGGTTAGTATGACATCTGGACAGGTACGTACACGACTATCATGACGGTACGTATACCACTATCTCGACACTTACAGACGTACGTATACCACTATCACGACACCTGGAGAGGTACGCCCACGACTTTCACGACACCTGGACAGGAACGTACACGACTATCCCGACACCTGGGCAGGTATGTAGACGGTTAGTACGACATCTGGACAGGTACGTACACGACTATCACGACACCTGGACAGGTATGTAGACGATTAGCACGACACCTGGAGAGGAACGTGTAAAAGATTTGCATTGAATCGGATGTCTTACAAGCCTAATATGAAGGAAATTTCCCTTTAACTTGGTGGTAGAGCATCTTTATCACTATTCCTCGTCCTGCTAGTGCTACATACATATACGACTAGCGCGACACATGCAGTGGTAAGTATATTGAAAAGCGCGACACCTGCAGTGGTTAGTATACTGAAAAGCGCGACACCTGCAGTGGTAAGTATATTGAAAAGCGCGACACATGCACAGGTAAGTATATTGAAAAGCGTGCAGAGGTAAGTATATTGAAAAGCGCGACACCTGCAGTGGTAAGTATATTGAAAAGCGCGACACATGCAGAGGTAAGTATATTGAAAAGCGCGACACATGCAGAGGTACGTATAAACAGCTAGCTCGATACCTCCTAAGATGTGCGTGTAATATGTGAATAATTTCTAATGTTCGAACATTTCGCTAGCTAACTAATTTCGCGTTATTTCACTTATGAGAATCGATCTCACCATAAGTTATTTATCTGGTAAATCCAGTTGTGTTGTCTACCGTGCACCTGTTTCCATTGCGTAACGATTTGAGTTTATATCTTTTCCGTGTGTGTTGACGTCATGAGGTATTTCTACTATATTTACTAAAATATAGTATCTGTATCTAGCACCACCTTCGGATTCGGTGTAGACAGGATCTACTGTACCTCAGTAGACAGATGAGATTCGGTGTAGACATGATCTACTGTACCTCAGTAGACAGGTGAGATTCGGTGTAGACAGGATCTACTGTATCTCAGTAGACAGATGAGATTCGGTGTAGACAGGATCTACTGTACCTCAGTAGACGGATGAGATTCGGTGGAGACAGGATCTACTGTACCTCAGTAGACAGATGAGTCAGCCCCGTGTGTTCTGTATTACAGAGAGGCTACCGAGGTGTCTGACGAGTACACGGGCCGTATGATGACGTATCGACACTTGTTGAGGACACTGAGCAAAGCGTCCGCCACCTGTCTGCAACTTCAGCAAGTTTGTATCTTCGTTTTTCTTTCCGTTTTACTTTCGGGTCTTTATTCACCCTTTCCTTCTTTTCATTTTTCACACTTGTATTTTACATATACATAAATAACACATTTTCTCTTACCCTGGACAGATGTATCCGCACTTTTACCGGTGTGAGATTTCCTTTTCTCCCACACCTGACAGATTTATCTCCCGTTTTGCCGGTGCTATATTTATCTGTCTCCGCCCTAGGGTTGAGACGGGGAAATTCCCCTATTCATAACAATGGCATGACGTCACTTCAACTATACAATGACGTCACGTCAACAATCCATCAACAAATTGCCTGTATGTGTTTTGGGCCCATGTTTACCTTTATTTCACATTAAAATACTGTTAGATATCGGAGAAAAATAATCAATCGCTACTGGTTGTGTAAGGTAGAGAAATCTCAACCCTCGGACTAAGATTTTTTGTCCAGAACTCGGCAAGCCTCGTTCTGGACAAAAAAATCTTAGTCCTCGGGTTGAGATTTTTCTATTTTACACAACTAGTAGCGATAGATTCTATTAGTCTCACCCTAGGGTTGAGACGGGGAAATTCCCCTATTCATAACAATGGCATGACGTCACTTCAACAGTAAAATGACGTCACGTCAACAATCCATTAACGTCACGTCAACCCTGAATTTAGCATGTAACGTTATCATTACATTGTGTATATGATACACAATGGGAGGACAGGGTAAGAGAAAAAGAATTCACCCCCTTGTGGGTGAGATAGGGTTGAGACTCCTATATCACCCCCAAGGGGTTGAAAGATTATATTAATCTCACACCTACATCTTCACATTCAAATTAACATCATCAAATCATCATCAACAAACCTTAAGTAAAATTTATACTAATTATATCACAGAAACTACATTAAAAGTTTGTATGTTTTGAGAAATCGTTTCGCAAAACTGTATTGATTCACGGATAGCAGTTATAATTTATCAAATATATTATATTTCCGCTTTTGAGCTTGGACATTATTCGCTGTTGCTTCCTTACAGAAACTTGTGAGGAAACGTGCCAAGTTGAAGGAGCATCTAATGGCTATAGCCCGGTTGGACGAGAGTAAGCAGGGCGTCGCCCCGGAACTACATGGTAACGTGAAGGATAGTCGGAGACGTCTGGACGTAGCGACCAATAAATGTCGTCAGGCTCAACAAAACCAGACCTCTATCGTACAGGAGGCCAAAGAGGTGAGGCTTTCCCGGCGAAAAGGTAATTTTGTTATAAAAGACCAAACCAGTTTACCATTACTAAGTTTGTAACATCCATTATGCCCAGTATGCTGGACACGGTCAAGAAAATATTACACAAAGTCAAATGAAAGCGACACAAACACCTACAATTTACAGTTTGTAAATTCTTGAAGATATTTTGTTTAATAGCAATTATTGAATTAAAATGACAGGTTAGAATATAATGAGATCTTGATATATTATTGCAGCAATCAGAGAAGCTAAAGGCGTCCTGGATTCTGAAGGAGATTCAGCAGTCAGAATTCCTAGTCCAGGAATGGCGTCAGTGCCTCTCAGAGAAGGTGACGTCACTGGACACCGACGATAGAGAGTAGGTGGTCAGTTATATTTCTCTATACATGTTGTTTAACAGTTTGATGAGGCAGGGATCAACACAAAACTGTAAAGTTCTAATCCCACAAGTCTCTACTATGTAATTATATCGGCTAAGTATAGCTACTTACTGTAATAATAGCACTTCCCTACATGTCAATCGTAGAAGATTCTTTAATCTTCCAATGTGGGTCTCCTGCAGAATGGGGGGGGGNGGGGTATTGAGGAAACAATAATTGATCTGCTGACCTGATTTCAACACCACGGACCATAGTCTGTTCTTGTCTGCCCTATCATTCTGTTCAGCGGTATCTTTCTTGGCAGCCTGGTTCGCCTGTTGTCAGAGTAGTGTGACCGGGTGGTTCGTCATTCTATGGTGTCGAGATGATGATATTACTTTAAAGTGGCATTCAGGTGACACCGTCATCTAGTGACGTCTTCACTCGACCTTATCTGTTGTGATGACGCCACGAGCATTTACTCATCGCCCGTTGTAGGTTCAAGTCTACAATGTTATTCAAATATGCTCCAACATGCTGATGGGGTATATTGTAAGAGACTGACGTCTTTCCAATAACGTCAGCTTTTAACGGTATCAGGATTAGTTCAAACCCGATTTAAATCCACGTACATGATTGTATCGTTGTAGGTACGAGTGTGGAGCTCTGAAGCTGTCTCATTCTGTGTCCGTACATGAAATGGTGGAACGACTTGCGGAAAACAAAAAGAAGGAGTTCCTCATCAAGGTATCCACACGTGTATATTTACATTTACATGGCATTGTCACTATATAGCCTCTTTGAAAGCTGTGTCGTTGATGGGACTTTAATTACCATGCATCACGAGACACAATTATTAGCGTATTAATACAACACTGACCGGAACTACAATATCCAATATAAATAAACATGACGACTGCTGAAATAGCGATGGGCATTGTGAGATTTGAAAATGTCATTGTAAATTTATGTGCAAAATAAAAAATAAAATTAAAAAACACCTTTATTACAACGAAAACAAGACCATGGTCTGCAATATCGTACAAAATTCACATCGGTTGAAATCACCAATGCCGACAATGGAAACAATTTTAACGCTCATGCAATTTATCAGATCAACAGTGGTTCGTTACAAATGTCTGAAATACACATATTCTATAGACCTACTGACACATATGTTACAGCCCTACTGATATGAGTCACAGCACACATAAACATTTCAGACATTTGTAACGAACCTGTTCTCCGTTGCAAGATCACTCACTTCAAACGCTATCAGTTTTACGCGTCTCGCATCCACGCTTCCTCAGTTTCTGAAGACATGTCAAATAACGAGGCTGTTATAGAATCTACCGACTGTTGTCAGGTTCCCATACAATCAAAAAATACATTCACGCCTGGATTCTTCACAAAATGAGCAAAGAGAAAAATTCGAATTAACTTCCAAAAATAACTCCCTCGTGGAGGGCAAGGTCGGATTTACGTTGTTCACTGTATTTGTCCATGCGCGAAATTTGTTCCGGGGAAAAATCGAAACAATTTCAAATCTAACTTTCAGCTCAGAGTTCTATTGATAAACTTAAATCACCCTATAGACATATCAGACGCAATTGTATTGATACTGAATTGAGGAATAAAATTGAAGTGTTTGTTAAAATTTCGAAGTACTACCTTGTTTTGCCAATCAGCACGCGACAATACGCTGTTCAAACCATTGAACGAAATTGTGTGGACTGTCGATAAGGCGGGCATTTTTAATTTTAAATATAAATTATAAGTTAAAAAAGAGCACAAGAGGTAGAGAAAACGTAATTATAAGTATTGAACTGTTTTTGTATGGTATTTATGATCTATTTGAATGACACTGCTTTGCAAGCAAACAATTCATAATGCGCTAGCGCCCATTATGTTGTTTGCTTGCAAAGCTGTGTCATTCAATTAGATCTGAAATACCATACAAAAACAGTTAAATGCTTAAATATCAACAGTCGCACTTCGTCTAATGGCCCCAACCCCCGAAATATTCGAATTAACATATTTCGAGATTAACGAAGCTTTACTTTAACGGGTCTTTGGTTTGGTTTGGTTTTATTTTGTTTAACGTCCTATTAACAGCTAATGTCATTTAAGGACCGTCTCCCCTGTGTGCAAGATGCATGCGTGTAGTGTATGTGTGTGTAGTTTAGGAGGCTGCGATATGTTCGTGTTTGTCTCCTTCTGATAGCGCGGAACTGATGCCGACTTTATAGTGCTACCTCACTGAAATATACTGCCGAAGACACCCAGCAGGACGCCCCACACTTTAACGGGTCATTTTGAAGAAGTTACTGTTAGTGCCTTAAGCCAAGTATCATTCAAGTATCATAGATGTTGGTCGGTCGTTATGTCTTATGTCAAGTAACATAGATGTTGGTCGGACGTTATGTCTTATGTCAAGTAACATAGATGTTGGTCGGACGTTATGTCTTATGTCAAGTATCATAGATGTTGGTCGGACGTTTTGTCTTATGTCAAGTATCATAGATGTTAGTCTGACGTGATGTCTGATGTCTAGTATCATAGATGTTGGTCGGTCTTTAAGTCTTGCGTCAAGTATCATAGATGTTGGTCGGTCGTTATGTCTTGCGTCAAGTTTCATAGATGTTGGTCGACTGCCGAAGACACCCAGCAGGACGCCCCACACTTTACCGGGTCATTTTGAAGAAGTTACTGTTAGTGCCTTAACCCAAGTATCATTCAAGTATCATAGATGTTGGTCGGACGTTATGTCTTGTGTCAAGTATCATAGATGTTGGTCGGACGTTATGTCTTGTGTCAAGTATCATAGATGTTGGTCGGACGTTATGTCTTGTGTCAAGTATCATAGATGTTGGTCGGACGTTATGTCTTGTGTCAAGTATCATAGATGTTGGTCGGACGTTTTGTCTTATGTCAAGTATCATAGATGTTAGTCTGACGTGATGTCTGATGTCTAGTATCATAGATGTTGGTCGGGCGTTATGTATGATGTCAAGTATCATAGATGTTGGTCGGACGTTTTGTCTTATGTCAAGTATCATAGATGTTGGTCGGTCGTTATGGCTTATGTCAAGTATCATAGATGTTAGTCTGACGTTATGTCTGATGTCTAGTATCATAGATGTTGGTCGGTCGTTATGTCTTGCGTCAAGTTTCATAGATGTTGGTCGACTGCCGAAGACACCCAGCAGGACGCCCCACACTTTACCGGGTCATTTTGAAGAAGTTACTGTTAGTGCCTTAACCCAAGTATCATTCAAGTATCATAGATGTTGGTCGGACGTTATGTCTTATATCAAGTATCATAGATGTAGGTGTGACGTTTTGTCTGATGTCTAGTATCATAGATGTTAGTCTGACATTATGTCTGATGTCTAGTATCATAGATGTTGGTCGGTCGTTAAGTCTTGCGTCAAGTATCATAGATGTTGGTCGCTCGTTTTGTCTTATGTCAAGTATCATAGATGTTAGTCAGACGTTATGTCAAATGTCTAGTATCATAGATGTTAGTCGAACGTTATGTCTGATGTCAAGTGTCATAGATGTTGGTCGGTCGTTATGTCTTATGTCAAGTAACATAGATGTTAGTCGGGCGTTATGTCTTGCGACAAGTATCATAGATGTTGGTCGGTCGTTATGTCTTGCGTCAAGTATCATAGATATTAGTCTGACGTTATGTCTTGCGTCAAGTATCATAGATGTTGGTCGGTCGTTTTGTCTTATGTCAAGTATCATAGATGTTGGTCGGACGTTTTGTCTTATGTCAAGTATCATAGATGTTAGTCGGACGTTATGTCTTATGTCAAGTAACATAGATGTTAGTCGGGCGTTATGTCTTTCGTCAAGTATCATAGATGTTGGTCGGTCGTTTTGTCTTGCGTCAAGTATCATAGATGTTGGTCGGTCGTTATGTCTTGCGTCAAGTATCATAGATGTTGGTCGGACGTTATGTCTTATGTCAAGTATCATAGATGTTGGTCGGACGTTTTGTCTTATGTCAAGTATCATAGATGTTGGTCGGACGTTTTTTCTTATGTCAAGTATCTTAGATGTTGGTCGGTCGTTATGTCTTGCGTCAAGTTTCATAGATGGTGGTCGGTCGTTTTGTCCTGCGTCAAGTATCATAGAGGTTGGTCGGTCGTTATGTCTTATGTCAAGTAACATAGATGTAAGTCGGACGTTATATTTTAGGTCAATATCATAGATGTTGGTCGGTCGTGTTGTCTTATGTCAAGTAACATAGATGTTAGTCGGGCGTTATGTCTTGCGTCAAGTATCATAGATGTTGGTCGGTCGTTATGTCTTATGTCAAGTATCATAGATGTAAGTCGGACGTTATATTTTATGTCAATATCATAGATGTTGGTCGGTCGTGTTGTCTTATGTCAAGTAACATAGATGTTAGTCGGGCGTTATGTCTTGCGTCAAGTATCATTGAGTTTGGTCGGTCGTTATGTCTTATGTCAAATATCCTAGTTACAGGTCGAACATGGACGTTGCGTATAATGTAAAGCATAGCTTGGAAAGAACGCCGCCTCTAACGTCAATAACTACAACTTATCATTAAACGTATTATTCTTGTTTTGTTAACATACTAATTAACCTTTTATCTAGCAGGTAAGCCTAAAAAATTCCGGAGAAAAAGAGTTTGGAATGCATGCAACTTGTTTTTGTGTATGCGTGTGTGTGCGCGAGTTCGTGTGCGTACGTTTGAAAATATCTTCGCTTGAAATATATTTATTTAGATAGATTATGAAGAATAAAAACCTTTTTGTTGACACTGGTGATGAGTTAGTGACCAGCCTTATGATGTTTAGGAGTTGGATGTGGACACTGACATAAGCTTGTCGCCGCCTCTGTCGCCCGTCTTCTCGCTCACGGATGTCGCTCTCCTGTCCGGTGTAGACAATGACCCGGTGGTAAGGCTGGACAACACATCAGACGACAGGTCATTCGGATCGACAAATCAGGACGGAAGAAGAGTGGAACTAGAGGTCAACTACCATAGGCCAAAAACTTACGACGGTACATGTCACTCATAGTCTTGTCGAGATCGAGATCTGAGACGTCTGCATTCATCTTTTTAAAACACCAATAAATCATAATTACATGATCAAAATCAATGTCATGTGCAAATGCAAATAACACTATTTTTAGGACCTACATTTTTTTCTGTAACCTGTTTAAAAATCATTTTAAATGCTGTTTGATTTTAGAGTACTAGTGCATTAAGGGTCAGTGTGATATTTTTGTCAAGGAAAGTTAACTGTTTGTTTTTGATCAGGTACTAAAGTGATAAAAGCATGTTATTCGGAAACCAAATATGTTTCGAGCTGTATTATTCTTGTCATTCGTGGTAATACATTCCACAACTTTCCTTTTACATGTGGTTTCAGGGCTAATTCGTGTTTAATCTTCTATTTTAGCTGGTCGCTGTTTGATATAGCTTTCTTCTTACAGGTGACAAGCATAGATACTAACTTCATATAAATGATTTTTTCAACAACATATCAAGCATTTTTTTTCTATAAATTGAAAGTATAATATATTAATTCTGGGAAACCTTACATAGTTGCCTCGCCTTAAATTAATTCTTGGTTTCATTATTTTTGTTCCAGGAGTCACCAACTTCATATACGAATCTAACTCCATAGAGAAGATTGATTGTAATGACGACAGGAAGGTCGCTCGGTGCAGCGGAACGTCCATGAAGACCTTCCTCCCCGGGAATGAATTCATAGTCCAGCCCATGGGACAGGGAGATTGTGGTACGCTATTCCATAGGGACCCGAAAATTTGTTACATATAAAATTTAGTCCGAAATTAAGTTGTTCAGAGTAATTTTACGCGTTTTATGGTTTTTGAACAATTTTCGATTAAAATACCATCCTAATGATGGTATGTATACCATATATAAATCCCTAAAACATGTAAAAGTATTCTGAACAACTCAATTTAGGTCCAAATATATCTTTTACAAATTCTAATGTCCCTGTGCGCTATTTGTCAGTTATCCTGGTTCAGAGCTGTGTTCTGTCATGTCACTATGGCGTCATTATAACCTGGCGCGGTGGTGACTGGTGGCGATATCCAAAGTAAAATGTGACTTCACACAGGCGCGTAGCTACCATGTAAGCCAATAAGCCCGGGCTTGCACATGATTTTGACAAGTATAGGTTTTCATGACATTATTTTTTCTTGCTGATACTATACAGTGGAGTTTAAGTTTTGAATATATAGTATACATATGCAATTCCTCAGATATGATACAGTGTTAATAGTTAGTACAAAAATGTATGAAGTTTAGAAATGTCCATTGCATTAATGGACAGTTCCAGGCGGAACTAAACTGCTTGATTGAGTAAATTGAGAAACTCACGCCTGGCGCAAACGACTCCGAGTATGGCACAGTGGACACAGACAATCGATGTGGGTGTTTTTTTTTATGAAAATATCAATTTGGGGCACGTTCGGCCCCTTTTGCCGGGGCACATTCGGCCACCCCGAATGCAACTGTTATTGTGCCAAGTGACGTCACTATTGTTAACGTCACCCAATTGACAACAAAAAATATATTTTTACGTCGCAAAAATTAAGTATTTTTTTCTTTGTATTCACTGATTTGTTCTGGACTTATTTTCCAACAGAATTGAATGAAATTTCATACACTTATTAGTAAATTGTCTTCTCTATCCTTCATGCCATACTTGCCCTGGTAGGGGCCGGATTTACCTCAGGGCGGGGCTCGTCCAGCCCCAAACTCTCTCGACCTAAAAAGTCCAATAATTCCCAAAATATGGTCTTGTTTAAGATTTTGTTATTAGTTTATGAAAGACGATACATTTCTTTTCTAAATGACATATATAAATATGCATTTCAACAGTATAGTACATGCCTTCCATAACGTCTTGAAAAAAGAAAAGAGGCCGTGTTTGCCCCGGTCCCCCCTACATATGTATTATACATGTGTAGGGGAGACCGGGGCAAGTCCGGCCCCTTTTTTAAAACTGTATTATAAATTACAACATATCATTATCTCAGACATCAGGACATGGGAAATGGCTCCTGAGATGTTCTAGAAAACAAATTTTTCATGGGGGAGACCCCCCAGACCCCCCTTACGGGAGGGGGAAGACCCACTCCCGTACCCTCCCCCTGCTCGCGCTTCGGGGGGGGGGGGGGGGGGGGGGGCTGCCTTCGGCAACCCCATGCTGGGGCTTACACATGGTAAAGGGGCTAGCTACGCGCCTGTCACATATAATAAAGACGTCACATTGGATAATATGTGTGACATTATAAAAGTGCTGATGCGTTGTATGACAGATTCTGTTAAGCATTTATTTAAATTCATTCTTGGTAGTTTTATACACAGAACTTAAGTTCCGTTACCCTTTTATAAGGAGCTTCAGAAACTCTTCCCGAAGTTTTACTTGTTGCTCGCCTAAGGCTTTCAAAAATTAAAATTAAAATTAAAAAAATTGTTTAAACAAGTTAGAATTGTTTTCAGATTCCTCTCGTCAGTCATGTCGTTTGATTTATGCAATACTGACTACATACTGTATTGTTTATTTTTACTGGTTAATAACAAAGTTTTTACGAAGTACTAATTTGGTTTAAGATAAGAACAGAAGGTAGTAGCGTACTCCCTATACTTATGTTAGCTGGTGTACAACTCATGTTTACACGACAACTGTAACGTAACAAGAGTTACAGTAACTACGAGTTACCTCCCCTTGAACACCGTTTTTTAAAGATTTCAATGAAAATACCAATGTACCATGCCACTGAAACCCCAACAAAAAGGCCAACACAACATGGGGAGATTCTAGTCAACGCTACCCATATGTCACATAAACTGACTTGCCATAAGTCTTCATGTTACGTCGATTACAAGATGTATGTTGATTTACATTTTATTCAATAAAAATCAAGACTTTACATAATTTGTTTTTCGATGAAACTTTGACAAGCAGTAGATACTGATCCAGCACTTCTGTTGATATTACTTAGATAAGATAGCCAAATTTAGCATTCAACAATAACTCTCCTGTGGAAATGAAATGTGATACCTAAACTACAGAGCAACAGACTATTACTTAAGTATTCCAATATATATATCGTAAAGGCGCTAAAATAATAAGTTTCCTTTGAGTGTTCAAAATTTCATCAAAATATGATGAAAAATGAAATTTAAAAAAAAGTCAAGTTTATTCGAAAAAACAGTAAATGACTCGTCACACTTGTAACAAGTGTCACATAATAGTGTTAGGAATATGTAGCGTTGGTATCCCTAAGTCAATGTTGTTACGGTCTGTGTTACCAGTGAGTACGGCGATGCAGTCGAAGAAAGGTCCCGTCCCTCGGGGAGAGAGAGACGAGTCTTACCACGTGGTTGTCACCAAGGACTACCGAAAGCGGTCTGGTCGGGACATCTCTATACGGCGTGGTGAGTATCAGAATCTACACACTACCGATGTACCTCGCCGGGACTAACCCGGAGCAAAAAGTTAAAAACGGCGAGAAATTGGCAGAGCTCCGGCGAGAAAGCACTTGAAAAATCAAAATTGACCGTAGTCATACCGATAAAGTAGCGGCGTTCCCGTTGTGATACCGTTGTTCTACTGATGTAAGAGCCGATGTGCTACCGACTACCATTCTTCTGTCAAATCAGTGTTACCGAGGCGCCGTCGATGTTATACCGAGGCGCCGCCGTTGTTCTAACGATGTGCCACTGTTGACCGGAGCTATAGCGGAGTGATACCATTGTACTGCCGATGCTACGGTAGTACATCGTTAGTTAGTACATCGGCGGCGCATCATTACTACTTCGGTGGTATTCGGTAGTACTACGGTATCACATCGGTACCTGTACGGTACACATTGAGGCCACCGGAGAGCCGCCGATCCATTACGGGGCGCTACCGGTGCTCTACCCACATCAACGAAGCCATGCCAGAGTATTGCCGATGAACTGCCGTTGTAGTCCCGTTGCTCGCTCCGGTAGCGCAACGGCGGAAATTATATACTACATGTTGCTAAAATTTTCGCCGATGTTCTGACGATGTACTACCGTTCTTAGCGATGTGATACCGTTGCGCTGCCGTACTAGTACTAGTGCCGTAGGTTGTACACATACTAAATTTAAATCTATAATTGAAATACATATGTCGACGTCATATGTGGATTATTGCAACGCTTTGTTTTGGAGCAAATATCGCATCTAAATTTCGCGTCAAAACATGAATTATCCAACAATGTGAATTTTTACAGTTTCTTTTTTTCCCCTTTTTTAAGCTGAGGTTTACGTGATTTTATCAACGTTTACAGGTTATAATGGTCAGAAAAGGATGACCCTAGTTGCTTCTTTGACCTGTCCCATACATTATAAAGCTGTGTTTGCTATTTTACCCGGTTCATGTCACAAGGGGCAGTCTAACATGGACCATAATAGTATATATAGTTTAGATAATGTACCATGTTACATTCCCATGTGATTCTGTAACAGTGACTCAGTGACTTCGTTTGAAATCGTTTCGAGTTAAACAGAGTACAACATGTCGTTTGATCAACTTCAAAACTTCTTAATGAATTTTAACAAGAGCCGTTTTCTTTCACATTTCAAATAGCTTTGCGAAATCGAATTACTTGTGTTAACTTCTTTTCCAGGTCAGAAGCTGGAGGTGTGTTCTATGGCGCCCAGAGACGGGATGCTGTTCGGTTACAAGAAATGTCGGTTTAGCGGCCAAGAGAAAGGAGGATACTTTCCCGAGGACTGTGTTATTGTATACTAAAGTTTGGGCTGTTTTTGTATTAAAACAACGATATGGCTTTTCGAATATTGTGGTGTTTTTTTTTCTTTTGCCGGTTTCTTTAGCAAGTCATCACCAGAAGATTATCTACTGATATACACACCACCTTTCGTCCGTGGTCCGTCCGGCGAATCAGAAGAAAGTGCAGCCTCTCTTTAGAATATCTAGGTGTAATAAATTTAATAAAACACAGATTGGTTGGTTATCAGGGTTAAACTTCCTACCAACATCTAAGGTAATTTAAGGACGTGCCTCCATGTGTATTGTGTGGTTGTTGGTGTATTTGCCTCCTTGTGATAGCGCGGATCTGATGCCGACTTGCGAACGTACACCATTAAAGCGAAAAATGAGGTATCGCCAAGCAATGCGCTAGGAAATAAAAGTTAGTTAGAAATAGAGAGAAATATGAAGATCCCAAATATCGCAATGGGAGGAAGCAGATTTATTTTGGTGGCTTTCGTGTCCCCAAGTAGAGAACACAAAAGCAAATCCACAATTCTGCAGAGGGGCCCACATTAGTCGCCTCCCGCAGTGGGTCCCAGCAGGTGTAATCTCGATCCCCGACCTGCAGGTGTGTCACACAGCAATGTGTAGTTTTTATCAAAAGTTGCCTCACGATGCATTTACTCTGCACGATTGACAGCATTACTGATCCAACAGAAATCAACAAACTTACATGGAATTTATAATGAAGAACTTACGATGGTAGGCGCCATGATCCCTCAAAGGCCTCTTGTTCAACATTCATCGGATTTACAGCATTATTTGTCGATTATGTATACTTTATTTCAAACAATTTAATACAACAATGATTTCGATAAAAAAAAATCAGGGAGAAAACAGACAATCTGATTGAGACATTTTGACAGGGAAGGGCCAACTGCCACTGGTAATATTCACCAGTGTAAACGTTGGTTATTTGAATATACTCTCACTATTTATCGTGTACTTAATGTGTGGATGAGATCTTAAATATCACATCTTTATAAAGTGCTATAAAAATGCAAAAATGCGTTCCCGTTTCTCTTAAAATATTGAATTCAATTTGAAAGGGAGAACCTATGTTATTGACAATCTCCGATGACGCTTGGAGACTCTACCGAATGTAGAAGTAGTTGATGGAAAAAGAAGACAAATGCCGGTTTAAATTAGATTAAGGTTGATACAGTTGTGGCAGGTATTAATTGTACATAGGATTAAGGTCGCCTTCTAGCTTCGAGGGAATTTCCCTTTAGCTCAGTGGTAGAGCGTCCGAAAAGGGACCAAGAGATCGAGGGTTCGATCCCCGGTGGAAGCACACTATTCTCTTTCCTATTGCAAATGGTGTCCGTGGCCCTCCCTGTGGTGACAGGGAGTTAGAACCTGGGTTGTGGTGTTTGAGGGCGAAAACATTTAAAAAAGGGGGAGTAGTGTGGCAGGTTTTAATTGTACATAAGATTTAGTTCGCCTTCTAGCTTCGAGCTAGAGGGAATTTCCCGTTAGTTCAGTGGTAGAGCATCCGTCTCTAAGGAACCTGGAGATCGAGGGTTGGATCCCCGGTGGAAGCACACTATTCTCTTTCCTGTTACACAGTTAAACCGTTAATTAGATATCTCATAACAAAACAGAGGTTAATACATAACACAAGGGGCTTGGTTGCTAACACAGTGGGTATATTACGTTTTTAGTTCATAAACTAGCTTGGAACAGATTTGTATTCGACTTCTGAAATCAGAATAGATATCATTTGCAGCATGTCGCTGGAATCCTGTCCAGGAAGATGAGGATGACACCAAAAATAAAAACCGCTCCACGAATGAATTGAGGAATAAGAGAGGAGGATGGTCACCAGGAGTGATCTCCCTTACCATAGGAGAAGAATCGGCTTGTTCAACTATACGCTCTGAGTTACGCAACACTTAGTAATAGTGTAATATATAGTTATTTATAGTATTATATACGTCTCTAACAATATATCATGTTTGTATTAGTTTAAGATGGAACTCTTTCGGTTTAATTGATAATTCGAAATGTTCAGTGTCAAAGAAAATTTAAAAAGCTGTCTAAAACCCGAAGGGTATCAATGCCAGCTAGAGACGTGTTTTCATCGATCACTTGTCATACATATATTACCCATATATAAAACATTTTTGGACATTTTTATGTTGAATTATAAAAGTGTCATTGTACGTTTATCTTGTTAGTGTAAGATAGTAGTTAGGGAATGTGATTCCGTGGTCGTTACCATTGTATACCAAACACATTGTAAAACAACGATACGCTAACGAATGTCAACGCCCCCACCTACCGATCTCAACCCCACCCCTACCCTACCCCTCTTTGTTGGTGTAACAGCTACCCCTTGTTCCCGTGTACCCTCGTTCCCTAATGACCTCGCGGGGTGTACCGCACATGTATACCTGTGCTAATTACCCGAACAACAAAGACCAGAGGCGACACCAGGTACCCACAGGGGTTAACACAATTACCTTCTCTACCCTATTCTTTGTTATACCTTGTTGTGTCACTCTTGACCGGTCAGAACGTATCAGCGATATTGACAGAACCTGACTTGATGAATAGATTACGTAAATTAATAACGTATTCGTTGACAGCACCTAAGCTGATTTGATGGACGAATTATGTAAAATAAAATATGATTTAAAAGCTGACATAGTATGTACCCAGTAAACGCATACAAATTATGTCTGGACAAACCGAAGTAAAACTGTTTCACTAACGGAAAACTTGCTTTTGGAATAATCACGGACTAAGATAACAATCTAATCTAATTCCGTGGAATAATCAATAAAAAACGAGCCGAAAGGGCAAATTATTTCACGTCGATGTATTAAAACTCACTTCATATATAATACTACAGAGACGTATATATTACATGTAATATATACGTCTCTGATAATACCCCACCCCTTCCCCTACCACCACCGACACACATACAAACACACTTCTTTAAACGGAAATTGTTGTTTATCAGTTAAGCACATCAACAATCGTGCCAATATTTTAATTGAATTCTTGCATTTACAAAAACTAATTTCAGTCTCAGTTCTTACCTCTACGTATTGAAATTAAAGGGTAGAAATTGAATCTAGTGTGTAGTAGATCAGGGGTCAGGGGTAGATAGACGGGGCCGATAGTATGATCCCTATCTCGTCAACCACATCGACACCAATAGGAGATTTTACCTCCTCCCCCTAACCGCTCTTACATTGGACCAAAAAAGGAGGAATGCCAGATTTGTTTATAGATAAACATTTTGAAACACAACGTAGATATATTTCAGTGTACATTTATAAATATGTTATATATATATATAAAGCAGTGGTATTTGTAAATGTTATTAAGAAATGTTATATATATAAATGTAATTCAGTGGTTTATGTTCATATAATTAAATCAGTTGTATATGTTAATTAATTTAGCAAGTGGTATATATGATTGATTAACCCATTGGTATATAGACGTAATTAAACCAGTTATTGTATGATAATTAATTCAGCCGATGGTACATGTACATGCACCGACTTAGATAGCATCTAATCTAATTCCCTCGTATATATGACAATTAATTTAGCCATCGGTATGTTGCATTTATCTTTCAGTAATACATCCGTGGTGAGGTTTGTAACGATGCTGTTCAATGTAAATATTCCACTTGGTCTGCTATAAATGTCGTTGGTTATACTATCCCTATCGGAGACTTGTCTGTATATCAATATAGTTATGTTGCAAGGGCTATTTTTAAAAACTGCAATCAACTTTTATTACATTTTTATAAGTGTAAACAACAGCATTCCGATATGATTGATAATAAACCGGCATTATTATTAGATTCTAGTATTCAGACAAAATCTATTTTAAATCCAGACCCGTTTTTTACTATTTTAAATGATGAAAATAAAATCTCTGAAGCGATACGATAATTTAAAGCTATGATAAAAAACACCTGAATTGCGTCACGGCTCCATTTCTGTACAACAATGAATAATCAACGAAGTATGTTGTGGCGAGTTTTACCTGAGAAGACTTGTCAATCAACAGAACGGGGGCGGTACCAGTAGCTGACGTCACGAGCTGTGTGAATGCTTTGATAGCTATCGACACGAATGTACACAGTATACAGACCATTTCTACACAGAAAAGCTTAGTATTTTGACTGGTGAAAACACGAACAACGAAGATGGATTTAAGATGAAACAAGTTAGGAGAATGTTAACAGGATGTAGTGTGGGTTCAGTTGTGTCTGTATAGCTTTAGAAATGACCGTAAAACTACCGGCCAGGACACAGGTGCTCTGTAGTAAATCGGGTATGGCTACGGACCGACGGTGAACGCGTCGAAACAGTGACTCTGTGTCAACAACGACTGATCGCATTTGGGAACTAAAGTATAAAAGCAAATGTGGATATAGCTATGTGTAAAGATACTCCTGTTTCCTACTGTTACCAGGAAAGTGTGAGGATTTGAGATACATACCTGTCGAGTATTTCCTCGATTACAGGTGTGACAATGGTACTCGAGTTATGTCACTGACGGAGTATTCAGGCAGGATTTCGGAGCCACGGGAGTCTCCGGGTTTTAGATATGGCAAGTATGGAGTTTTGTGGTGACAAGATGTCATTCAGAACTTTACGTTACACGTTTCCCCTGCTAGTTTTACTGCAGTTTCTGATAGCCTTTGCCCAGGGCCAGGGGCCTGGGTCAGTATGTGGTAATGTTGCAAGTGAACGTTTCTCTATCAGGGAGGGTCGACCTGGGGGCACAACGGTCGGGTCAATTACCACACAATCATCGTACACATATTCATTTAAGGAACCTCAAACTCTGTTTGAGTTGCACCCCACAACCGGGGAAATCACCACCAAAGTGGAATTGGATCGTGAAGCGTTGACGACAAATCCCATACAGATCTTGGTCATACCGCGATCCATGTCGGGCACAACACAACAATGTCCAACGGATGTTTTCATAACTGTGTTAGACGTCAATGACAACTCGCCCACGTTTCCTTATCCCAGCATCCAAATCAGATTCAACGAAAATGTCAACGTAGGGTACCAGCAGCAGCTGACTAGTGCGACCGACATAGATCAAGGCAACTTCGGTACAATCACCTCTTACACCATCATCAACATGACGGATTCAGCCAACGAAAAATTCACTCTGATTTACGACATAGATCAGTATGGATACAGCCCTCTCATTCGTGCCATTGGTGGACTAGATCGAGAGGTGAAGGATTTTTATCAACTTTGGATATCTTGCCAAGATGGAGGTGATCCGCCGCGCTATGGATACTTACAGGTGAACATCACGATTGCTGACTACAATGACAATGCACCACAGTTCTCCCCAAGTCAGTATGTTGCCAGTATTAACGAAAGTGTGCCGGTCGGAACCTCCGTGATAAAAGTGGAGGCCACCGATAAGGATATAGGTGAAAATGGAGACATTTCGTACAGAATAACTGACGACACTCAACAGTTCACCATTAATTCTAAAACTGGAGAAATTTCAACAACAGTCACACCACTGAAGTGTACACGTCGGTGTGACCGTTCAATCAATGATGCGTGTGAGCCGTCCAGCTGTATGCTGACTATTGAGGTCGAGGATGCGGGCCGTCCTCCCCTTTCTGGGCGGGCTTATGTAACAGTCAATGTGAAAGATGAAAACAACAATGTACCAGAAATGAAAGTGACCTATTTACCTAGTGGTAGTCTTGGATATTCAACAATAGATGAAAACGCATCCAACGGTACCAATGTTGCTATAATAAGTGTTAGTGATAGTGATACCGGGAGTTACGGAACTATTTCGGACGTGCGCATTATAGGCGGAAATGATTATAATCACTTCTTCCTGCAGAATCGTCTCAACAACCAACTAGAATTTCTAAAAGTGAATGGAAATGGTGTATTAGATCGGGAGAGAATTGAAAAATACAACATAACAATAATGGCAGCAGATGGAGGAATCCCACCAAAAACCTCTCTCAAAAGTATTCTAGTGTATATCAAAGATGTCAACGATCATCATCCCATGTTTCCAAAAACACAATACAGAGTATCACTGAGTGAAACCGTGCCAGTATCCACCTATGTCACAAGTCTGACCGCTATCGACCTTGACACCGGTGACAATGCCAAGCTGTCCTATGCCATAATTTCCGGAAATGAGTTAAAGTGGTTCAAAATAGATGCTAATTCAGGGCTTGTCACTACTCAAGCCTTACTGAGGTATGAGCTTCAGACACAAGTTGTAATGAACATATCGGTCCATGATGGGAGTTTGAATCCTTTATATAACTTCACTTCATTGATTGTTACGATTTCGGATGAGAACGACATAACACCCACTTTTGAGCACCAAATTTACAATGCGTCCATAGCTGAAGGATTACAAACGGGGTCAAAGGTCATTAATGTTACTGCCAGAGATTACGACTCGGCTCCCAATGGAACTGTAACATACTCTCTACACCACGATGTAAGTGAGAGATACCCAGCCACATTCAATCTTGACCCTAACTCTGGCATTATCACAACGCTTAAGGTCCTCGACAGGGAAGTCATCGCATATTATGTAATTAGAATCATCGCTCGGGATGGGGGAACACCAGCATGGTCATCTACAGCTACTGTCAATATTAATGTGGATGATATAAATGACAGCATTCCAAGATTTTATCCTGTAACATACTACGCCCAAGTTTTAGAAAACAAACCCATAGGAACAAGCGTTGTAAGGGTGTTTGCAGAAGATCCTGACTATGGATCAAATGGAACAGTTTATTATTCCTTCAACGGAAATTATCCTCAATTCAGTGTAGACCAGAACACTGGTCTAATCACAACGGCAGCCATTTTGAATCGTGCCACCCAGTCTACATATTCGCTGAGTGTAAAGGCAACAGATGCTAGAGGGAGGACAAACGTACAAACAGCTTCAGTGGACGTTGTCGTAACGGACCAAAGCGTTACTCCGCCTGTATTCAGAAACAATGTGTATAACTTCAGTATTGTAGAAGACCCCACCAATATGCCAGTGAACTCAGGACGCACTGTGGGGACGGTCCAGGCAGATACAGCAAACGCTGGGGTGTCAATCTCATATGGTATTGTGGATGGTGACCCGAACAGTGTCTTCGTCATAAACAGTGCGACGGGAAAGATCACTAATAACAAACGAGTTGACCGGGAGGAACGAGCTCAGTATGATCTGAAGGTCATTGCTACAGCAGCAGGTCTGTTCGGGGAAGCTACGGTTAGAATAATTGTTTCCGACATCAATGACAACATACCTAAGTTTACAAGTTCAGTTGCCGAAGCTCAAGCAGTCGAGAATTGGCCAGTTGGTCATGATGTGTACCTAGCTAAAGCTACTGATGCTGATGCCGGTCCAAATGCCCAGATTTCTTACCGATTACAGTCCACACCTGATATGTTCAATGTAATCCCAACAACAGGTATGATCTTCTTGGCTAAACCAATAGACAAATCAAATGTGAAGACCTTTGTGGTGAACGTCATAGCCTCGGATGGTGGAGCTCCCCAGCTTTCATCAACAGTGCGAGTTGAAATTGAAGTCATTGATGTAAATGACCACACTCCGGTATTTTCCCATAGCAACTACGAAGTTTCACTGAATGAGTCACTAGCTGTGAATTCCCAGTTCTTTACTTTGACGGCCACAGATGATGACAGTGGTCGGAATGGTCAAGTGACATATAACATAACATCTGGGAACGCGGAGAGAAAGTTTGGTATCTTTCCAGATGGCAAACTCTTTCTGGCCAGGATGTTAGACAGAGAGACGAAAGACCACTACAAACTGACCATCACAGCTAAGGATATGAGTGTAGAACAGCGAAGTTCTTCAGCAAACGTCTCAATCTACATTCTCGATGACAATGACAAAAGGCCACTGTTTGACAACGCTTCCTACTTATTTGGTATCTCAGAAAATCAACCAGCTGGAACAGTGGTAGGGATGGTCAAAGCTACAGATTTGGACATTGGACGGAACGCAGAGCTGTCGTACTACCTTGATCAAAACCAGGACAACTTCACTATTGATGCTCAAACCGGGGAGATATCAAGTTTACGGCCCTTTGACAGAGAATACCTCAACCAGACCATGGGGAGAACATCCTATACGTTTTCTGTGTATGTCACGGACAATGGTCTCCAGAGACTGACTGATTCTGTCATGGTGGTTGTCAATGTTCTTGATGTCAACGATAATCCTCCCCAGTTCAAGGATAAGGTCTACAGGGCCTCTTTATTGGAGGACGCAGCAGAGAATACACGTGTCCTGAAAATCGGAGCATCTGATAATGACACCAATGAAAATGCTGCTCTGTCGTATCTGATCGTAGATGGTAATGCGGACGGCAGGTTTAAGATCAGTGCTGGGAATGGGCAGATATATTTGAGTGGAGGACTTGACAGAGAAAATCAGGACAGTTACGCTCTAACTATTATCGCTAGTGATTCTGGGAAGGACGTTCAATACACTGCTACAACAACTGTTTCCATTACTGTCCTTGACGTTAATGATAATGCTCCTCTCTTCGACCAGACTGCCTTTGACATTGGTATCTTAGAAACAACACAGTTAGGCGAAGAAATAGCCCATTTCACAGCCACAGACACTGATCTAGGGGAGAACGCACAAATTACATACAAAGTCACTGAGAACGGCGGCATGTTCAACATCGACCGTAATACTGGAAAACTTTACTTGGAGAAAGCTCTGGATTATGAAAAGAAATCAGAATATCATTTGAACATATCAGCTGAAGATAAGGGAAGGACACCTCTACCCCAATATGCACGCCTTACCGTGCGAGTTCTGGATGCTAATGACAATGCACCAGACTTTGGATCAACTCCAGCATTCGTGACTGTTTCTGAAGATGTCGGACTGTACAATAACATTCTCAAGGTCACTGCAACAGATCCTGACGCTGGAAATAACGGAAAGGTTGTATATTCTCTCAAGTCACAAGACCCACCTGGCGACCATTTCAAGATTGATACATCAAGTGGTTATATCTACATCTCATCGATCCTAGACCGGGAGTCATCACCGACCTTCACCTTAAAGGTCATTGCATCGGACTCTGCTCTTCCTTCTCTGAGTAAGTCTACTGAGAAAGAAATTACTGTCTTTGTAAGTGACATCAATGACAATGATCCCGAGTTCCTATCCATGGATGCTATTGCACTGCCTTATCCAGCAGGTCAAGGGGCGTTTGGTAATGTCTTAGCAGTAGATCCTGACAATGGTTCAAATGGCACTGTTGTGTATGAACTTGCCCAAGGTGATCAAGAAAAGTTTAGTCTACATGAAACTACAGGTGAACTTTCTCTCCGAAAAAACATTGGCCAAACTCCTGTCACTTACTCGCTTAGGGTGATCGCCAGAGACAGTGGTATACCATCGTCTCGGTCAACACATATGGACATTACAATCATTTTAGTTGGCACATCTGGTGGACCAACTTTTCTTGGACAGCCGTACAAAGGACAAATATCAGAAAACAGACCAGCAGGCACTGACATTCTGACTGTGGAAACTTCACCTACAGCGCTTCCAACGGAATATTACATAACGGGAATTACATCGAAAGAAACATCAACAGCGAATTATTTCAAAGTGAACAAAATTGATGGATCCATTACATCATCTATTGTGTTAGATCGTGAAATCCATGGAGATAATTTCACCGTAGAAGTTTGTGCCCTTGAGAAGCAGAACTCCGGTCCCAAGGCAACGCGCACGCAGGTAAGCTTAACTTATGTCAATGTTGTGACCAAAAAAATCATATCATTCAAAAACTTGTCCAAAATAGAAACAAAAATGATTTCTTTTTGATTTTTTTTTTGATTTTTTTTTTTTAATTATTTTGTTTTGTAGGTGTGATATTTCTAGCATTTTGTTTTTTACCCCAGATACCCCAGAGCATACCAAACTGATACAGACAAAATGTACAATTTGTTGTATTATTCAAAACCTTTATATTACAAAATGTAGCTTTAAGCTCCATTTTGTAATATAAAGGTTTTGAAAATCATATTTGAAGTCTTATAAATGTGTGATACACATGTACGTAACAACATGTACACCAGTTACAGACACATACTGTTTGTAGTATATAACCACACATACACATATAACCAATAACAAACCTCAATATAAGGACATTTGTTTCATATGCTACCTCATTTACTGCCATCATGTAAAAATGTTTTCTTTTTTTTCTCAACTATACTTCTTTGTTCCTGTAAATTTGTAAATTTACGTTTAGTGTAATTATAGAACAGCTATCATGATCGGGAACCTTCAAAATTAAACAAATCTGACATCAATTTATAAAATGCCAAAATTTGACTGGACAAATACCTAGGTTTTATTATCCATATATAACCCCAAGTGTTTCAGTGATTATGATTTTATTGTGAAGAAGGCAATCGGAAGGGCCCCTTGGTGGTAGGTAATGGGATAAGGGGCCACACACTACAGTAGGGGAACCAGCTACATTGAAGGGTCAAAGGCTTGAGACTAGGCAAACATTGAAATGAGTTGACAAATACCTAAAACAAATACACTCCCCTTTCTGGTCAGTGCCAGCAAATGTTTAGTGCAAATAAATTAGCCAGGGAATTATAGCACATTAGCCTTGTTTACTGTTTAGTGCAAGGCTGTATTTTAACATTCTCTTGTAAAGTTAAATGTTTGACCAGAACATTTATTGTTTGGTACAAGCTATAGTTCAGTGTTCAGAACATCGTACATTTATGCGTCATTTCACAAAAAAACCCACAAAGTGTATTTAAAAGTCACTGTGTGGAGTTTCTTTATTTAAAATGTAGGAAGAGTAACTATAAAATTATGGTATTTAAAGCTGTATGATGTTATCTCTATTCAGCTTTAGGTACCATACCCAGTAGATCTGAGAATAAAGAGAATAATAATTTTGATAATTGGCATAGTTCACCCTGTGTATTACAGTGTACCAGGGGGCTACTTAGTTTGTAATGGAGAGACATTCTCCCGTTAGAAATGGACTAGACTTAAAGTAAAGCTCAGTAAATTTACAAAATGTTTTCCTAGTGTTGTATGTAAAGATAAGCCAATTGTAAAAAGTGTGATCTAAAACTTGGGGGACTATCAGTCAGTGTAATGAATGGGTCGAGTCTGTCCACTGTAAACTGATCACATAATATAGTCTGCTGTTTCTGTGTTGAAGTACAGAATCGTGAGCCAGAACGCCCAACAAACTGATCACAACACACGGATGTGGCCGAGTGTGTAACTACAATCACCGCTCACACTGTACACTTAGGAACTGAAGCTTGAACCCAGCACTTTTGTGTCTTTTTATCATTTCACCAAAACTTGTCTTTAAGCTTGAGGTTTCATTGCAGTTGATTTAATTGGCAATAAAATAAAAATAGAGTTCCATGGTCCTGAGGAGGAACTCATAAGAAATTCACGTGGCCAATGGTAATCAAATTTGTATTAAGACCAGAACCCAGTCAGCTCGGTTAGGTTTGTACATGTGAAATCAGTTGGACATACTTGTCATTATATGGTTTTATAGGGTTTCGTTTAGAAGTGATTCCGGTATGGGGGTGCCTCTTTTTAACCGGGTTGGTATTTACCTGTCCCGTGAGGCTGTCCCACTGAATGGTAGTGTCATTACATGGGGACTGCACACACCTTTTGTCCAGGTAGCCTAGTCACTTCAGGCCTTCGGTGATATCGGGTACCTGAATAGACTATTGTGCTCCAGTTTTACTCCTCAAACATGCAGTCTAATCATGCAGATATTGTGTTGGGCAGGTGAATTTTAGATTAAGGTTTTGAGATTTTATATTAAATGTTTGCGGTAGAAGCTATGGTATGTCATAGCCAGTTATCTGTCTTGAAATCCAAATTTTCATCAAAGGCTTTCAGAATTATTTTCTCATGTATATTTGTATTTGTTAGACAGAATACATACACGTTGCCAATATAAAGGTTTCTGGTATATATTAGTTTTATGAGTGTGTGTTGCAGTCACCTGGTAATATTTATGAAAGATGGGCTCTTAAGAATCAGATAATATGAGAGATATTCTTTAAGATTTGGAAGTGACTTCCTCAGGATATCATTCTCATAAAAATACAAGATTTTGTGAAGATAATCAATACGATAATTAAACAATACATTCCTTACAAACAGTTGCTGTCAAGTTTTATCACTGACTTGTAGCGACATTTTTATGGCGAAACTTGTGCAGGGTTATGTCATAACCATAGTGACGAGTTGGTTGAGAAGTGAAGTGGAACAGAGATTGCCATACCTGTGGAGACACACAGGTGTAAACAGGTAGACAGGTTCACAGCGAGGCTGCCCCTAGGGACTCGGCCCCTCCAGGTATGCCCACATACCTGTACATAGGTATAACCTTTGAAGGAGACGAGGCTACATTAACACTGTATCATACGAGATTTCTTTGTTCTTTGCCGGATATCTTTTTTAGCACATTTATAATTTTTTTTTATAATGGTGATTTCATTTCTGATCTCGAAAAATGTCACGTAGTGACTCAGAAGTTTTTATCATTCATCTAAATATAAAAATTCCTTATGTAATTTGACTCCTAGAGGAAGAAACATTTAGTCTGTATTCTTGTTTGTCACTGAACCTGACAAAAAAACACAAGAAATTTTAAAACCTAAATGGACTTTTCTTGTATATCATCGTAACTTTCACGAAGCCAGAGATTTTCTGTTCATTCATAGAAGTCTATAGGTGTAAAATGTTCCTTGTTTGAAGAAAAAACTAATATATTAACATTTTGTGGATCAGTAACTCTCTGCTTAAAATTTTCTTCATTAAATTTAAATCTGTTCTGAAAATATGAAATTTAAGATCACAGGAATTTATTTATGAATAAAAATCCTGTTGTAAGTAAATATCGGCAAATCTACAGATCTTAAATTATTCAATATCCGTGAGCTTATTTTAAAATATTCAACTGGGATTTTCTAAACATTGCTTGACCCGGTATTTAGTTTATGTATGGTATAGCACTGCTGTTTATAGTGGTGATGTGAAACTGAAATGGATATTAGCCATTTTATGGGTTGGTCCTAAGAAAGGTGGTCACCTGGGTAATAATCAAACCTTTGTATAACTGACGGTAATAGAGAATCTCCCAGGCGAGAGAACTTCAGGCTCGGCTCTACAATATTTACATAATTCTAACATATTCTGGAGAAATTACTCCAAACTTTGTCAATAAAGATATCAAAAGACGTTTGTGAACTTTATTTTGGTGAATGTGAATTTTTTTAGACTGACATGTTACCAGTTTGTAAATGGCTCTCTGTTGTACATAAAATCTTGTTGCACTTACTTGACTGGGTTTTCTATTACAGTAAAATGAAACAAAATTCTCTACCTAACGTTGCGAGTTTTACATAGGAGCCAGGATTTCGTGCTTATAAATGTATTAATGGGATTAGTAGGAATTGAGAAGATTGATATTAGGTAATTTCTAATACACCTTCGCTGTTAAAGTTCTTCAGTTCTTACAAGCCTAGAACTTGGCTTCCAGACATGAACCACATGTATTGATACACACGGACAATGGAGGAGAGTCGGTACTTGTTAAAGCAAAACCACGGTAGAATATTCCTACCCGTTCCTGTTTGAAATAACAAAGTTATTTTGCAGAGTAGATTCAGACAATTTGAAGAGATATTTACCTGCCATTTAAAACCTATCAGTAATTACAATCTGTGATAGGAAGGCTGGAATGTGTCTTTTGTCTACCTTTAAATATTGATAACTTGTAATTAAGGAATGTTTGAGGGGTGAGCTTTGACATTGCTTATGTTAGCTGTGTCACAGATTGATGAATTGACCGGTCAGGTGTGATGGGCAGTGATGGACGCCCTGACACCATACTTACCTGTGTGTGTCACGCAGTGTGACTGTTTACCCGCCTATACTCTCAAGTAACATCACAGGTGATCATTTTAAGGAAGGTGGGCATTGATTTAACAATTATAAAATTGATAAAACGAGGTATGTAAACTTTAAATCAGGCAGGGGATGGGGGATATTTGACCTTGGTTAGGCAGTGATGCTGATTAGGACCTAGCTGGCACCTATTAGAAGGTTTGTGAGTGACCCTACTGTGACTTCCTGTTTGGACAGGATTGTAGTGACCCTGCTGTGACTTCCGATGGAAGTTCTCCAGCATAAGTCATGGCTGCCACGACTGATTAATGAAGATTAATGTTTAACGAAGTCATTCAGCATAACGTGATGATCACATCAGATGAGTTTTTACTTGCCCACTAATCACCTATTTTAGAGGTAGAACACCTTTAGAACTAGAACACACCTTTAGAGGTAGAACACATCTTTAGAGGTAGAACACATCTTTAGAGGTAGAACACACCTTTAGAGGTAGAACACACCTTTAGAGGTAGAACACATCTTTAGAGGTAGAACACACCTTTAGAGGTAGAACACACCTTTAGAAGTAGAACACACCCGTAAGGAAATTTGTCAGATCTATATATGATAGCAGGGAGGTTACAGGTATCAATATAAACTTTATTTATTTTACAACAATTATGAAACAAGTTATTTCAACTTATAGTAATCACTCTTGTTGGCCTGGATGTTAGCGCGCAGTGAAAGGCAAGTACGCTATCCACTGCACCACCCGACCACCCACCACAGGTATCGGATGATGATATCACTCATCATTTCCTTCCTTT